TCTATATATATATATATATGTGTGTGTGTATATTTTGTATTCGGTTGTTCCTTCTATCTGTATCTCTCTGTAATGTTACAGGAATTTATTAATCACACGCAATATTCGTAAATATCGATGGTGGTCTYTCTCGTTAAAAGGTCGTTAAAAAAAKAGGRTTTTTATTATTATTTTTTTACTATCATCATTTTTCTATCATTTGATCTATAATTTTACTTATCTATCATACTCTTACTCTATTATTTATGTCTACTTATGCAACAGATATTATAATTGATAATAAAAAACTAAACGATAWTATGTTTATTCTTGACGAATTATAAATGAGAAAAAAAAAAGAATAACACCATAAGGATAGATCGTATATTTGAAATATGATCGATTGAGAAAAAATATTCATAAAAATTTGATTGAAACATTTACATACACATAGAGATGCGTATCGCGTTAATTGACGATACTTAAGAATACTTTTTTTGGTTTGTTTATAACTTGTGTTTAATCGTAATTAGGTTAGATGTTAATGTAACTGTCGTTATAATAATCTGCAGTATAATTTATCTACGAGACATCCGGCGTGTCGATATATTCCATTACATCCTACGCCACTGTAATCCATTATTGGGTAACGTCCCCGCAACCAACCAACCAACCAACCAACTACTACTACTACTATTACTACTACTACTACTACAACAACTACAATTGCAACTACGCGAATGTGAACGCGCGAACGTTGCTGCTATTTATTCACCGCGTCGCTATTATTAATCCCATAATTATTCGCGTAATATAGACAAATATACAGAAGGACCGAAGGTCATTAATAGCTTACGATAATGCGAGATCAACGTTATTTATGCATCGACGCGTCTCCCTGTACCCAATGTAATTGCGTTTTATATAATTTAATGACAAACGTTAATGAAATTATTACTCGATTTTCGTACGCGTATCGATGAGATTACCCCGTTGTTAAAATTAGACTACCTAAACGTTTCTCTCTCTCTCTCTCTCTCTCTTTCTCTATATATATATATGTTTCTCATTTTCCCATTAATCATGTAAAAACAATTAGATTGTTACTGTATTAAGAAAGAAACTTGATTTATATATTATTTTTTAATATTTATACATTCATACATTAGATTTTCTAATTTATATTATTAATTTGGTCTTATTAAAATAAACAATTATATTATATTGTTATTATATTTAACAATAAATAACATCAAGATTATATATATATGTATATTATATTTGTAATAATGTAAATATCATTATCATATAAAAATTAATATAATAATGTTATTTTGTGAAGAGGATGAAATTGGTGCTACCATAAAAAAAAAAGGGGGGAAATAGAAAAGGGAAAGGAAAAAAATTTTCGGAAAATATACGAATCCATTAATATTTTATTCAAACGGACAAAAGAAAAATTCGTCGAGTAAGGTAAGCAGCATTATATTAGTCATCTTTCCGGTCAGGTTAGCGGCAGCCATTGTTATCGTTTAGGATTATGGGTGTCAATGGCATTTTCTTGTCTTCTACATAACAATAGATTCCATGTGTATTCAAGAAAAAATCTGTCCTAGGTTATCCCGAGTTTGATATATTTTTGTATTTTTTTCTTCTTTTTTCTTTTTAAATGTGGTGTTCACAGCGCTTAATGTATTAAGATAGATATATACATAGGTATATATATATATATATATTTTTCGTCCTCTCTTCTTCTATCCCTTTTTTTTTTTTTTTTTTTTTTTTTTACCGAACAATGAACCCTTTCCTTACAATGAAACTCGAATTTTTGTTCCCCAATTTAAAATATTTTGACAATCCCTCTTTATAATATGGAAAAAAATAAATCTTAAAGTAACAAAAATATTTGTAATCGATCGCACGATGTATAAAAGATTTTTTTCTTTTTTTTTTATACAAAGGAAATAGAAAAATGTGTCAAGATTATTCGACACTCAAATTGATATCAATTTAATTGGAAAAAAAAAACCATAGATCGTTTAATTATAATTTTAAATAAATAATTAACAGTATATTACATATATATATATCTAAGAAAACATTTAAAACAATTGGAATTAATTAAATGTGACAGGAAACAATTATTATGTCTTTTCGACACAAAAATTCATAATCCCTGCTTTTCGGTACGTAATCCGATTTGACTGCATCCGGGCATTCGGTCTAACGGGAAAGATCGATGAACGAAACGCAATGGAGACATATCGATGAAAAATAACATACACACACACACATACAGACAGAGAGAGAGAGAGAGAGAAAGCCGAATTTATGTTGGATTTTTCTCTCTCTCTCTCCCCCATTGACTATTTGTTTATTCTTTTTTTTTTTTTCAATTTTCGCAATTTTTCGTAATACTTTTATTATTCTTTTATGATTTGGATTTTTATATTATTTTTTGTTGTATATTTTCATGGTTTTTCTCTCTCTTGTTTTCTTCTTTGGTAAATCACGTGGGTAACGCATTGTAATTCCGTCAGTAATTCCAAACAAAATCTCTACCGTTGATCGTTCGTTCGTTCGTTTATTCCTTCGTTTATTCGTTCGTTCGGGAAAACAGAAATTGCGTGAAATTTTTTCTTTTCCAAATCCAAAGCGAGTTCAGTACAGTCGTTCATTCATTCGTTCATTCCTTTTATCGGATCAATCGTAGCTTTGATATAAAATGTCAGAGGCATCGAGTAGTAGTTTCTTTTTCTTTTCTTCTTCATCTTCTTCTTCATCTTCTTCTTCTTCATCTTCTTCTTCTTCTTCCTTCCTTCTTTTTATTCTTCTCTGCTACTGCTTCTGCTAGTGCTAGTGCTCTCTCAATATTTTTACGTAGAAAACCGAAAGTAGATACGAGAAAGTAGGGAAGTGCGAAGTTATAATGGCCGTACGAAAAAGTTAAGAGCATTACGTCGCATAAGTCTTGCTTGCCCCCCTACCTACCACTCTCCTCCTCCTCCTCCTCCTCCTCTTCCTCCTGCTCCCCTCTGCCATAAGTGATTTGCATTTTTTACCTGAAGAACAAAATTTTCATATTCCTTTCCTCTTCTTCTCTTTCTTCTATCTTTTACATTCCATCTCTTCCAAACCCCTCCCCGTACTCCCCCGTTTTACTTTTTCTACACAAAGTTCGTGAATCTTACGTACACGATTGATCGTATAATATTTTTTTATATGGTGCTTTGGGGAGAGTGGGGAAAGAGACGAGTAGTTTTGAAAATCGGAGAATATATTTTTATCCATGAGGATTGGTAAAGCTAGCTAGCTAGCTAGCTTTGCTATTAGAAAACACCATTGAGAGAAATGCCGGGTTGTATGGTGGTGTGGTGTGTCGTCGTCGTTCGATAAAACGGAGACGCCTTCGGCGCCGTCGCCGCGTCCTCTCTTCGCGTTTTCGTTCGAACACGTACCAATATATCTATCTATCTATATACATATATATATATATATATATATATATATATATATATATATACATACATGTATCCTAACACGTAGGTGGGAATCCTGTCCTTCTTTTCGAAATGGAAATACGAGTCGTGAATAAGCGCGTCAAAGCTTTAATATTCCTGAGCGAGTAGGAACGAGAGCTTGTTTCCAAGAGAGAATAAAAGATAAAGCTAAAGAAAGAAAGAAAGAGAGAGAAAGAAAGAGAGAGAAAGAGAGAGAGAATGTGAGAGCCAATCGCATGCACCTACATCCTAACTGTCATCATCGTTCGTGATAAGAGCAAAGAGCAAAGTGGCTGTCAACGAGACAAACGAGCTCACATCGATAGGAGTAGGAGAAGGGGTTGGTGGGGGGACGGTTGTGAAGGGGTGGGAAAAGGGGTTGGTTAGGAAGAGGATTCTGTTGGTAGTGATAGATACGTGGAAACAAAAAGGAACGAGTAAAGTAATCATTTCGGTGAGAGAATAGGAAGGAAGAAAGAAAGAAAAATAAAAAGAAATGAAAGATATAGTAGATATAGTAGATATAGTAAAGAAGAAGAAGAAGAAGAAGAAGAAGAGGAGGAAGAGGAAGAAGAGAGGCTATAGAGAAACCCAAAGCCACCAAAAATCCTGTCAACTTTATCCCGCTATCGAGGATCCTGAAGAAGACGACGAGGACGACTCGGAGATAGGGTTCCTTCTCTCTCTCTTTCTCTCTCTCTCTCTCACTCTTTTTATCTTGGGTTACGTTGGGCTCGGGCAAAAGATCACGCTAACAGAAGCAACGCATTGGTAACGGGAGCGGGAACAGAGAGCTAGAGGGATCATGCTGGTCTCTCTCTCTCTCTCTTTCATTTTACCCCCTCTCCAAGTTTCGTTTCCACGATCTCCGTCCTACTTTCCGCACCGTGCATCGATCCTACTCTTCTCTTCTCTCTCTCTCTTTCCCCCTATCGTACTTCTATAGCCGATATATGTGGTCTCAGAAGAGAAAGAGAGAGAGAGAGAGAGAGAGAGAGAGAATGATAGAGGGGGCGTGAGTAGAGTATGGGTGGGATATACCCGTCGAGGGGGTTGTGTGTTCGAACTGGCAATAGTGGGGGGTAGGTTACACGGAAAGTCAGATTGGAAGGGATAATTAAACTGACACAAGTCCGTACAGTCCTGACACGACGTTACGGAAGGACGAAGAAAGGTTGCCATGGATACGTGGATGGGATCCGGCCAATCCTGGTCTTCCTGGTAGGCGTGGCTTCTTCATTGGCCACCGAAAGTCCCTTTCTCTCTCTCTCTCTCTCTCTCCGTCCCATTCAATCTCTTTCTTCGTCCCTCTAACCAAAAACATTCGCCCCGAATCCGAGTTCCCCTCTCTTCTGAGCTTCCTATAGAACCCAAGAAGACCATGAGAAAGAAAGAGAGAGAGCGAGTGAGTAGAAAGGAGAGGGGAAATAGAATCGGGCAAGGGGTTGGGGTGGGGGGTTTCAAACGCTCTTGGATAGAAAGAGATAAATGCTATTTGGTGAAGAAAGGTAGAGGTAGGTCGCTACGAACTGGTGCTGCTGCTGCTGTTGCTGCTGCTGTTGCTGCTGCCGTTGTCGGGGTACTACCCGATTTCAACGGGCGCGTACAAACGTATCATGCTGGGTAGGGCCGGTGCCGAGATGCCGGCTTGTAAACGAAACCAGTTTGCTATCCGATACGATCCAGGCAACAGCGGCCTCGCGCGATATATCCTACACGAGCTAAGATCGTTCCTGTTAGGTGGAAGGATCCAAAATCATCTCGGTCCAAGAGGAAACGACAGGATGTGGGGATAGGAGGAAATCACCTGACACCTGAGGAAAACACACGAGGAGAAAGCTGCTGCTGCTACTACTCCTGCCTGCTGCTGCTGCTGTTGTTGTTCCTGTTGCTGTTGTTGCTGTTGTTCATAGTTAACGAGAAGAGATACGACAAGAGGGACAGTTTTTCAATAGAAATCTACATTATTATTCGTTTGATTTTGTTGTCATCGTAATCTGTTGTTCAATATTGCCGATCACGGGATAGTTCGCGTACGCGATGATATAATAATTCTATATTTTATTATTATTATTATTAAAGGACCGTTGGACCAAATTCGAATCGTTATATTGTTTTTTTTTTGTTTGTGTGTAGATAGTGTAAAAATTAATAGTGGACTATGTCAAGTGACGATATACAATCGTAAAAATCTATTCAGATACATTTTCCGATCGGAAGGGGAGGAATTCGATCGGGTTCGAACAGTGAATTACTTTGAACTAGTTTCTTACAATTTGTCTTCTCTTATCGTTGGAAAAGAAGAAAAAAAGAAAAGCATGAAACTGTCATGATAGTGTCGAGAAGAAAGTACAAATCGGAAAGGCGGGAATCCTGTGAGACAATAAAAGTTATGACGAAGAATCACGTTGTGATCACCATCAATAATAATAATAATAATAATAATAATAATAATAATAATAATAATAATAATAATAAAGAGACAGTTTAAATTCTAATTAAGTAATTATTGTGAAAAGTTTCGGGGATTCCGAGATGTCGGCAGTGGCACCGCCAGGAACCGGTGGTGCGGCACCAGCACCAAATGGTCCAATTGTACCGGCACCGGTTTTTGCTTTGCCGACGTTGTCCTTTACCGTCGGTCAAGTGGCTACAGTTTGCGAAACTTTGGAGGAAAGCGGTGACATCGAAAGATTGGCTAGGTTCCTTTGGAGTCTTCCGGTTGCACATCCTAACATTCAAGAATTAAATCAAAACGAGGCGGTACTTAGGGCACGTGCTATAGTTGCCTTTCATTCGGGACATTATAGGGAATTATATAATATATTGGAAAGGAATAAATTTACCAAGGATTCACATGGTAAATTACAAGCCATGTGGTTGGAGGCACATTATCAGGAAGCTGAAAAACTTCGTGGAAGACCATTAGGTCCTGTCGACAAATACAGAGTAAGAAAGAAATTCCCTTTGCCGAGAACTATTTGGGATGGCGAACAGAAAACTCATTGCTTCAAGGAAAGAACTAGATCGTTACTACGGGAATGGTATCTTCAGGATCCTTATCCTAATCCAGGAAAGAAAAGAGAATTAGCTGCGGCGACTGGGCTTACACCGACGCAGGTTGGTAATTGGTTCAAAAATCGAAGGCAAAGGGATCGTGCTGCTGCAGCAAAGAACAGGTATATATCAATATATATATATATATCATTCTCATCTTTATATTTCCTTTTTTTTTTCTCTCTCTATTCATCCTTTTAACTCGCTAAATAAACGTTCGTAAAAAAAAAAACAAGAAAAGAAAAAGGGATAGATACTAATCTTTACATTTTTAACGATGACGATGACGATGACGATGATTTTTATTTAAACAAATAAATTAAACGATGTTAAATGTGAACAAAATGTTAGATTTATAAAACAGTTGGGTTGTTAAATCACAATATGATAACTCAATCCCATAATTATTTCTTTAAGTTTGTGACTTACGAATGGATAGAATAACGAAAAATAATAATCATCTTCTTCGTCATCGTCATCATCATCATCATCCTTCTCTTTTGATGATAAGTTGAGTATAATGTTGAAGTTGTTCGCGGTATGACGCGAAAGATTTGTTCATTAAGTAGCGTTTAATGGAAGTTAATCGCGAAACGATTAGTGGTTTAGGTCCCTTTAGCCAGATTGTTGTACTGTGTCCTCGACAAACGAGCCTTTGTGCCCACCCCAAGGTCCCCGCGCGTTTCAAGGGTCGCGTAATTTCATTTTGACGTCCGACGGAGGGTCGCTGCCGTCGGGCGTACAACGATTTTCGAATTACGTCTTTCAAATTGTATTTCAACGTTGTTTTATCTTTCTCTATCTTTCTCTCTCTTTCTTTCTCTTTCTTTCTCTATTTCTATTTCTCTTTATCTTTCACGAGATGGTTTCTGTTCCTACGTCGAAAGATAATATTCAAATCGTTTCCTGACGCACGACACAACCCTCATCCACCCTTCCTTCCACCCTTTCTTCTTCTTCTTCTTCTTTTCGTATTTTGATAAAGGACAAAAAAAACTAATACAAGGAATACAAATGTATATTAGAATCGTTTTTCTTTCGTTAAAAATCATCGAACGAGAGTGTCCCTTAACTTTTTATTACCCCCTTCGAATTATTTCCAATTGGATTTTAGAAATAAAAATTAATATTTTATTTTAAATATTATTTTTATGCTGCATTTCTTTTTCTTTTTTTTCTTCTTCTTTGTATTCATTCATTATTCACACACACTTTTCGACGTTTGACAAAATTATATTAAGTTGAACCGTCAAGGTTTTCTTTTTTTTTTCGGTCTCTCTTCATTTTTCTTTCATTTTATTATAATCTTATTTTACCGATAGACAACCGAGACTAATGAATAATAATAATAATAAAAAAGAAAGAAAGAAAGTTTTTTTTTTCGGTTTAAGGTTGCGTTAAACGTCAGGATCACATTGTTATCAGGACATTTATATACTTAAATAAAAAATATATTCGATACAAATAAGAATACCTATATCAATTCTAATCTTTTCATTAGTTGTCCTATGTCAAAGAAATCTGTCTATTGTAAATTAAAAAACTTATCCCATGGGATTTTGTATACTTTTGTCTAACGAATAGCATGATATCTTGGTTTATAACTTTGAAGATTTGTCAAAGAAATCTTTCACAAATGATCGACGTTTGAACCACAATTTTCTATTGAAACATTGATTTACAACTATTATATTCTTGTGAAGAATACCCGACGGGCTTTTTTGTCAGCTTCTCCCTAAAAAAGAGAAAAATATTTTTATTCTAACGTTATATTCTTTTCAAGTATTTCCTTTTCTTTTCCTTTTTTTTTTTTTTTTTTTTCTTTTCTCTTTTCGTCTCTCTTTTCCGACGGTTTAGAAAAATCATTTCAATTTGCCGTTTTGTATATTTTAAACGTACGATATTTAATGGTGGAAGGAATATTATATATATATTAATAAGTTAATAATAAATATTAAAATGAAAATTTTGGAAAATTGTTAATAACAATATATATCGAATATAAATAAAATAATTCTCTCAATGATCATTGAAATTAATTTCATAGGGTTAATAAATCAATGTCAAAGTATTTTGACAATTTATGTTTTGGATGAAAAGTTTTTTAAATATCATTATATATAAAATATATTTTTTAAATTGTGTTATATATTTAAAAAAAAAAAAGAAAAAAAAAAGAAACAACCTACATAACGTAAAGAAAAAAAATTTAAATCGTAATACGTAGGAAAGTTCAATGCCTGTCACAGATGATCGCACATTGTAATGAATATACAAAGTCAATTGAAATGATCAATTTTCTTCAACTATAAAATTATCATTTTCTACATAAAACAATAATATTCATTCGAAACTTTAATAATAAATTAAATCAAATTGAATAATATTATTAATAGCATCTAATATATATATATAAATCCCTTATATATTACGTTTCATTTAACAAATTCATTTTAATATATTTATTTAAAATAAAAAAAAAAATAAGATAATAAAAAGACTAATCAAATTAAATACCCATTGTGTTTGTTTCCAAAAGATTTAACTTTTGTTTGAAACAATTGTTAATATTAGGAATAAATTATGAATAATTTGATCATGTTAGTGTAGGTAGGTTCACCCTATATATAAATATTATTAAATAATCAAATGACGTAATTTTTGGTTCTATTTCTAATGTGTTTTAATCTCTCCTTGAATAAAATTCGTTGACGTGCATGAAGGTTTAAGTTTGAAAGTTGCAACAACGACCCATATCTGTCGCCACGCTTGCTCGTCTATAATTATTGCGCTCTGAATGAAGTCATTAATAGTCATTATCTACGTCTACGTTGTAATTGATATATCGTTAACGGTCGACTATCGTCCAGGCATACTGCTCTAATTGATCTTGATGAGCTCTTGCAATCGGTAAGATTACACGTTTGAAGTTCAACTCCATCCTTAAACGTATCCAATATGTTTTGTCGTATTTAACATCATCGAGAATTACAATGAGAATATCTATTACTCTTGATTTACTATACTTCAATTATATAATAATTAATATATATATATATATAATTATTAAATATTAT